GGGGGGGGGAGAAATGCCAGCTTCAGCAGAGATAAAGTCAATCCAATCCATCTTTTTCTTGCTTACCTCTACCAAAGGGTAAGGCACGAAGAGTGACTAAAAATATAAAGAAGAGTCACAACTTCTCAAACTAATCCTGCTGTTGTCTGCTGTAGCTGTAGAGTCAGGCTACGAACAGCAATCACCGTCCTTCTCTCAGCCTTCTGCACTGCTCACCCACTGCACAAACACGCAAATCTCTGCACAGGAAACCTGCTCCCTGCTGCATTTATCAGCCTCTAACAGCAATAACCAGACTCATTCTCTATAATTTTGTATTAAATGTGTACCTGCTGCAAGCAAAGAGGACAGTTGCACAACTTTGTCAGAAAGCTGCTAGCAACCCTTCCCAATTTGAGTTAATTTTTCTGATACTTTTCAGAAAGCACCAGTGCAGTGGAAGTAGCTTTCCTGTTGTCTTTGTGAAGAAAAACATTTTGCAAGATAAATGGCCCTTCTAAACTAATATACCACCAGCAAAAAAAATAAAATAAAATAAGAAAACAGAGCAGCAAGATCTCTTCACCTCAGCTGAATCCGAGTGACGTAACTGGGAACAAATGAAGCTGTCATATGTAAGAATCTTCAGAGAAAAGTTTTTCTTAGGAATTAATTAGAAACTGCAGACAATGAAATAGGCTGGGATTCCTCCCTCTCCTCCAGGCTTTTTACAAAGAATGTTTCTTGGAAAGCCATGAGAAAAGCTGCTACTTCTGGTGAATATACGCAGTGCTATTTTTACACTGGGTTTTAGTTCTAAGCTCACACAAGCGCTGACAGGAAGAACAACATTCAGCAATTGCCACCATGCTATTAGAATCTACACCCAGATAACTGCTCTGTATCCACAGGTTTCAGGAGCTAATTCGGTAATTATCTTTATTTTTATATATATCTCAAAGTTGAGACCTAATGCTTTAATCCTCAATAATAATTCTGCCTAAATCTCACATGTTTTCAAGCCCATGCTCTAGTTCTAAGCCAGCAAGTTTCAGGGAACTGCCTCCTTCACAAACTGTATTATCACCTTGGACCCTGATCATTTTAAGACTGACGAAGTCCTGGGCCCTGTTTATTCTATGGCATTTTTGGTGGTCCACGAGGTCTTCTTTCCTCTGGATAAAAGGACCTGTTTTTATGATCTATTCCTGACAGAGCAGGCCAAAGATGGCCATGAACACGCAAATATCCATTGCTTACCCCAGTCAACAGGAACAAAACCAGAAGTGCTGAAGGCAGCAGTTTTCCTTCTGACAGAAATCACTTGACTTCCTGGTTGAGTAACTTGTGTCCAGACGCTTCTTTGGAAAGAACCAGCTTGCACTGAACCATACCTACCAGTACATTGCTCCTGCAAGAGCAGAAACCACTTCCTGAGCCCAAAATACTGACATGGAAGGAAAGAAACAACTCACATACACAGATAGAAATGGCCTAAGTACTACAGCGATATGGTAAGGATACTACTTAGTTGGAAGTGGGGTAAGCAATCTGATACATCCCACTTCAGCACTAAGCTGCAGATACCAAAAAAAGAGAACAGCAGTTAAATGCAAATACTCTCTGCCATTGAATTTTACCTACTGCAAGTACTGGAAGTAGAGTTTGGGGAGCTGTGACCCATTTTCACCACTGCAGACAGTTGAAGTTTGCAGTGGCTGCCACTCTTCAAGACAAGAGCAAACAGGGAGGATGTTCCCAGGGCACTGGGATTATAGCCCAGGAAAGCCAGGTCTAGCATACGAGAAGAGACAGTGACTGCATAGGAGAAGAAATAGATATTTCTGAATTTTACTGCTTACAAGTCATCTCATGCTGGACTCTAGCAAAAACAAAGACACGAGGGTATTATCCACACCTTCCCCCTCCATTGCTGAAGCTCCTTGTAAATTAGATGCCATATCTTTGCTTGTTAAGTAGTTCTGCACACAGCAACTTCTCCCAAGCCATTTAACACAGCAGTCTTATCAGCAAGAGCCAGCTTTGGCTTTGTAAGGCAAATAATCAGGTTATACTCACTTAGTTCAAATGTATCCACTTTAATTTGAAGAGCATTGACTTGGTAAATATGTGTGAGTATAAAAGTGTTTCACAAACACAACTGTGTTCCTGAATCTGTGTATTATAAATTTTTTAATGTATTTAACTGCTCAGAAGTGCTCCAGAGAGTAGAGCTTTTTTTTTTAAAAAAACATTTCCTCTACCAAGAAAAAAAAAACCTGAACCAAATCGGTGTTCGTGCAGGCAAAATTCATCCAAGCAAAGTTCACTTCGGTGATATCTCTTCTGTAAATAATGAATTCACACTCTAATCACTATTTTCTGCAACTAAATGCTCAGTTAAGCACTCCCAACACAGAAACCATCACACCAGGAGTTCATTTGGCATCTTCCTGCCTTCAACCACACAGCACTGGGACTGGGGCCGACTCAACCAGTGGGTGTTTGAGCAAGATCAAATACTAAGGAAGAGACCTGCGCTGCATTGCTTTTCTGGCATTTTTCCCCATCTTTTGAAGTGAAGCAGGAACTTTTCCTTAAATCAAATGAACCCAAAAGGCACTTACAGTCCTTCCTGAACACAACTTCAAATAGAAATGTCAGCTTCCAGGCTGAGAGAATTACAAGACACTGCAAACAGAAACCCCTTTGTACAAAAAAAACCCAACACAGCCACAAGTTTCAAGAGCAGATGTTATTCTTGTATTCTCCAAGTCCAGATCACAAACTGATTAAACCGGTTTTGTTGTTTGCTTTTTAAGCAGAGGGAAGGCACGCTTCTTCTCACTGAAGTGGCAGCTGCAGCATCTCTCAGAAACAGCCCCAGGAATGCATTTCTCCACATAGATCACAACTTCACTGACTTTAATGTCCTAATCACACCCACTCAAAACCTTATTTTTCTACTCTTCGTAATATAAAAACACTTCTGTTAAACCAAATCTATGTCAAATATCAGGAAACACTACTTCCCATTGTCAGCGTGTAATAAAGTAATTAACAAACACTGATTTATAGCCTATTTCAGAGAGCCCTTTCACTTCCAAAAATGAAGGTAACATTCTTACCTATTATGGTCTGAATTTCAGGAAGCAAGGAAGAACAGCAGACAGTGGCAATAAATAATGCAACACAAACCTTTTCAGCACCTCTACAGTACCGTATCATGTGCTGTGTGTCTTCAATTATTTCCCAGGAAATAAGCAAGTTTAGAATTTTATTTAGGCATACTTTAACTCAACTTAGAGATACGATTATCAAAGATTTAACCCAGTCAGATCACCGTTAGGAGTTCATATATATTAGTATATATTATCTTACTTAGGAATAAGAGGTAACACTAAATCACTTATTTTTAGTAAGCTGACAGTAAGACTATGATGAAATCCAAGGAAGCTGCTCATTAAACAAGAGCCTCCATACACAGCAACACAGCCAGTGACAGCTTTTTTATTTTTCAGTGTTTTCTTTTAATTTTACTTCTGTAACACAGAGCTGGGGAGAAGTATTTCAGATTTCACACACACAGGCCTTTTCCTCCCAACAGTTCATCCGCAACTTCTATTTGCTTCTCATACTACCATCCACAGAAAACAAATTACATAGCAACACACACCTGACATTACTTAGTTCTAAAGATTTGACCAGTGTTACCTTTGCTTTTCATTGGAAAAAGAAGACCAAACATACCCCAAACCCACATTCATATTTTCACTGCCTGAAAAATGCATATACTTAAAAATAAATGTACTTAATTTTTAAGGCAGTACCAGCTGATTTTTCTGCGATCCTGTTGCAGCAATCATCCTGCCAAGTTTCACGATACTGTTAAACACCTTTGGCACAATATAAAACATCAGGTCCACATGTGGGTGTTCCTCGTTGTCCTGTTATTTCCAAGGTGATCTGAACTGCTACGCAACTAAAAGCTCTGCTCAGGGGACTTTTCCAGATGGCACCAGAACTGCTGATCTTCCATCATTCGGGGTGCCAGGCTCCCTGACTTCAGGGGAGTCAACCACCCCTCTCCCAGGATGCCAATCACAGCGACCCCAAAAACCATCACAAAGCTCCTCTCCCCCAGCCCTCACTGGAGAGAGAAGGACACTACTACCCAAGTAAAGGCAAAAATTACTCAACTCTAGTGGCCCAATTCTCCCAGCACACTGGTCAACTGCTCACCACTCCACAGACTTTTCCAATTTGAACTCTAAGCCCAATTATCCCTGCCATTGCTCATTGACCTCTCCAGGAAGGTCCCTGGATCACACAAACATGCACTGACGGTGACAGGTTGCAGGCAAACTCAGCGGTTTAAAATAGGAGTTACTCACAGGAGCACTTAACAGGAAGTGATTCACTTGGAGCACGTCCTATTTGCATTAACCCATTAGCTTACCAGAGAAACTGCTGTCAGCATTACACAGTTCACCAAGGAGCAGGCAGTACCGGAGCACATAATGACAACAACCCCGGCGGTACTGCAGTTCTTTAACCACATCACATTCTTAACGATACCCGTTAATATTTATGATAATGAAATTAGAGAGTTACAACATAAGCAACACGACAATAAAACATCCATTATGTCACAAACACAAAGCATAAGTAGCTGGATCCCCAGGTGACTCAAGAAAACCACAACCTCATTTAAAAAATTACATTTTTGAAAAAATAAGTTGATGTTTGCTCCATTTCTTCAGGCAGATGCCTTAAAAAGGAATCTGTATTTAAGTTCATAAATACTTTGCCATCTTCTCCCCATTTGCTGTGAATTTCCGCAATACCTATGAAAGCACCACGGTTTTCCAGACTCCCATTTTAAAAAACATTCAATAGGTTTACTTACGCATTAGGTTGTAAATGTGCTTTTCTGCAACATGTTCCGTAAACAGCTTTATAAGGTCATCTTTTAAGTCTCTGTTAAGCTTGGTTTCTATGTAAAATTTATTCTGGAAAATAAGACACAAGTTTTCAAGTTTATTTTTCATAACAGGAAATAAAGTAAACTTACTTTTTCCTGACTAAAAACAGTTCAAAATTTTAAAGCTGTAGAATATTTGATCTGTAAAGTGCTTCCTCAGTGACTGCATTTAGAGTACATAGACCATTCCTGTACAACAAAAACCAGGTATTTAAAATCAAGAATGCATGTGGTGCTATCGGTAACAAATCTACATAAAAGTGTGCATAGGGGGGTGGTTGTAGGTCAGAGAGGTTCTCCTCCCCCTCTACTCTGCCCTGGTGACACCGCATCTGGAATATTGTGTTCAGTTCTGGGCCCCTCAGTTCAAGAAGGACAGGAACTGCTGGAGAGAGTCCAGCGTAGGGCTACAAAGATGATCAAGGGAGTGGAGCATCTCCCTTCTGAGGAGCGGCTGAGGGAGCTGGGTCTCTTTAGTTTGCAGAAGAGGAGACTGAGGGGAGACCTCATTCATGTTTATCAATTTGTAAAGGGTGAGTGTCACGAGGATGGAGCCAGGCTCTTCTCAGTGACAAACAATGATAAGACAAGGGGTAACGGACACAAACTGGAACACAGGAGGTTCCACTTAAATTGGAGAAGAAACTTCTTCTCAGTGAGGGTGACAGAGCACTGGACCAGGCTGCCCAGAGAGGCTGTGGAGTCTCCTTCTCTGCAGACATTCAAAACCCGCCTGGACGCCTTCCTGTGTAACCTCATCTGGGTGTTCCTGCTCCGGCAGGGGATTGGACTGGATGAGCTTTTGAGGTCCCTCCCAATCCCTAACGTTCTGTGATTCTGTGATATTTTTCTATATCTACAGACATACAGCCATATTGATCCAGACTGGGGAGTCTGTAGAAAAAAAACACTTCACTTTAGAACGTTATAAATGCTCTAGCACCAAAACAGGGCTGAACATCACATTTATATCAAAATAAAACTTTTTTACCAAAGTCCAAAGGTGATTAAGCCATTAAAATAGGTATATTACAAGAATAAATCACTACAGCTATCCACTGTGGTTCACTGATAATCTCAGAGGGTAGATACTCAGAATTAATCAACTGGGGAAATAAGTGTTATAAACCAATCTATACAAAACTGAACTACATCAGAATTTTTAGGATTCAATTATCTTGACCCACTCAGCATTAATGATAAATTCACCTCTTCAAGCCTCACAGGAAATTCTATTCATGAGTTCCTCGAGGGCCCATAGACCTAATGCACTATTTGGTATTATTCCTCAGTTCCCAGCCTACAATTAATAGTGAGATTTCTTGTCTGCACATTGATTCATAGGTAGATTTTAAATGCCAGAAAAAATAATGCTTTTCAAGATAAATCTCCTACCATTACAACACTAACATGGAAGTAGAACAACTGAATTTATCTGGATAATTTGTGTAAGAGTTAAACAGATACGGTAATAGATAGTCAACTTAATCAAAAATAATGCACTGGAACCCTTATCCAAGAGATGTACTAGAGGAAGGGAAATCCTAAGGGAGAAAGGTTTTTCCACACTTGAAATCAAGTTGTTCTCCTACGCACTAAAGCATTTAACGTAATTGGAACAAACCCTCAGAACACTATCAGAGCAATCCTTACATAGTTTTGTGAAACCCATTCTCTTGGCCATTACCAGAACTACAAACACACCGCAACAAACTGTCCATGCAGAAACCACTTCAGTTTTCAAGGCAAGAACCCAGCAGCAGTTATTTACCTTTACTGAAAACTGAACCTGTCAGAACAAAGACAATCCAAGGGCTGAATACATGGCCCCTATTGAAGTTTACATTTGTTGCAGTGACACACACAACAATCTTAAAAATATATGTTTTTAAATTTAGTAACTTTCTACTGCCAATTCGCTCCCTGAAGCTATCCTACCTGTAGTGGTTTTATCCAGGGCTATTACTCAGTCCTCTACCCCTCACCTGGGCCCATTCTTCCAACAGATATTGAGGGAAAGGCTCTGCAGCCAGCACCGCCTGTCTGAAAGAAACAGCCTAACTTCATTTGTAATACTTTTGGTCAATGGTGAATTGCCACTGCAACAGAAATACACATCTTCTAGGAAGTGTTAAGCTACACATCATACCACAGCCTTTTATCAGATCTACCTTGCTAAACCATTTCCACCTTGAGCTCCCTGACCACATCCTACCCACTACCCGCTGGTGCAACACAGGAGCAACCAGAGCATCTCAGCACAATTCTGCAGATCTGAATGAAATCTGATAATGTCCAACCACTGATTCTTATGCATTGACATGCGAGATGCACTCTGCTAAGCAAATAACTTGTTCTGCTCCTTTCCCAGCCTCCAGACCTTCTTACAATTAAAAGTAGCTAGCAATGACATGGGCAAACTGTGATGGATGCTTTCTTTTGATCCAGAGTTGGAAAGCCTATACCTTAAGTTCCATAACTAAAAGCAACAAAAAAAGCCCCCAGTAGTTTCAAGTTGAAGATTTGACACTTGTACTGTGTTGTAACTCTTCTCATTTGCTCACTTGGAAACACCTTTCCAGAAAGGTGTTACACTTGCATGGATTTAAACAGGCGATGAAAAAATCATCTAACAAGTGCCTGACTTCTAATCCGTAGCACTGAAAAGGTATGGCAGAAGAGCTGTCACCTTCCCCATTCTTGTTAGTGGAAAAACAGGAAGATGTTCTGTGTAAGACATTGCTACCAAGTCATTAGAGTACTTCCTGAAAAGTCTGTCAAGTGACCTCAAGGTCTAACTGACAGGTAAAAGGTGAGCAGATACGAATACCGGAGAAATTCAGATACAGCGTAAGCATTTCTTCTACAAACCACAATATCGTAAAGCAATCTGGTAAACATTAAAAGACATAATTGTGTTAATAATATTAAGAGGAGAGCAATAAATACTTGAAAGAGGAAAAACTGTATATACGAGTGCTTATCATCTCATCCACATATACATATATACACACACACTCACAAATTTGTGTACAGACACACCCAAAATGCCCCCTAGCTGATAAGCAACAAAGTGCAACACCACCCAGTAAGAACAGCAGTATTTAGAGGCAATGAAAAAATTCGAAACTATCCTAAAACCACAACCCTCACAAATGTTAGGCTCATTTCATGCCAAAAGATAGCAGATTTTGAGCTACATCCCTAAGTATAATTAACAATTGAGAACCTATTACAATAACATATGTCATCTAAATGCAGGTTTTAATTTGTCTTGAAGTGGAAATGTGATTTTTATTCATTCCTGTCTGCCGCATACTGTGATATGTACAATTTGTAAGCATCCAGAATGACCTCATTTAGATTTCCAAAGTAAACAGTTACTCACTAGGAAATACTCTTGGGAATAAAGCAGTGTGAGCTAAGCTGACTTCCAGTCTAAGTTGCTTTCTCTGCAGTTACATCCCAGAACTTTTGAAGGAGCTTAAAACCCACAGCATTTTGTAGGGACAAAAGTGCTTTAGGTCTCCATGCTTTCTTGAAAAGCCCTCTGTGGCAGCACAAGACTGAAAAAACCCATCACCATGTGAAAAAGAAAAGCACCAGTGCTCCTAGCAGAAGGAGGAAAAAGAAAACTCCCTCAGTTGCAAACTCAGCCCTCCCAATCGCCACTCAAGATAAGCTTTGAAACACACCTTGGTGACCAGACACAAGCAGGTAAAGAAAACATCATTCCTGTATTCTTACCATTCACACACAAGAATGTGGTTTGGTACATACCAGGAAAGAGAAGAAGAGTGCTGCTGTAAGTGCTGCTGTTGATAGCAAAACACACAGGACTAAGCCTAAGGCAAAATACTATGGTCACCAAGGGACAAAAACGTGTTCCAGCTGCGTAAAGAACCCCTAGGTTTTCCTTGACTTTTTAGATTTTTAAATATTTAAATGCACATTAAAAGTTTTCCTGAGCAGCAGCCTAATTACTCTTTCAGAACACCATTTATCATTGCAACTCCGCAGCCTTGGAAACTCCTGATTAATCACATCACTACCAAAAAAGGAAAGCCCTGTCATCTGAAAAAAAATGGAAGAGTTCAACAACTTGGCCCTCTTCACTTAAAAACACATTGAAAATATCTATTAAAGTAACTGCAAAGCTGTAATTTATGCCGTAGAATAATTAGGCTCGGAATTGTTTTTTAATTGTATTTTATTATCTAAATAAAGGAAACTGATGCTGCTGTAAGAGAGAAAACTTGATTAGACACTACAAGGTAAAATTGCAAGAGCAGCTGTAGATAAAAGCACTCCCAAATGCATACAGAAAAAACTGAGGAAAACATTTTTCATCCTGACTGCTCTACAGGTATTTTCCATATCATACACAAAAGTGATTAATAAATTATTTCAGAGAAAAAAATATGAGACTTAATTTGACATGAGCCTTCAAAACCAGCTATATGGAAGAGCCAAACCAGCATTGCATTCAGCAACAAGAGGAACTAACACCCAAGTCACTAAATCGACTTAACAGGGACCTTAAAGAGGGGGATAGACTTTTTAGCAGGGCTCGCTGTGATAGGACCAGGGGTGATGGTTTTAAACTAAAAGAGGGCAGATTTAGACCAGATAAGGAAGACTTTTTTTACAATGAAGGTGGTCGATCACTGGCACAGGTTGCCCAGAGAGGTGGTGCAGGCCCTATCCCTGGAGATATTCAAGGTCAGGCTCGATGGGGCTGTGAGCATCCTGATCTGGTACCAATGTCCCTGCTCACTGCAGGGTTGGACTGGAGGAGCTTTAAAGATCCCTTCCAACCCATTCTATGTTAATCCTCAGGCCCAACTTGAATTAAGTCACTTAAATGAGAAAGTATTTGGAGGAAGTCATGCTTTAAAGAAGCTTCTCCTCTAAAACAAGAGAGTACATACTTCTTCTCTTTGTTCTCAAAATAAGTTTTAAAAAGTACGATCTACCTACTCATTTTACAGGTCTGTTTTATCAGCTAGACTCAAACTCTAAAGAAGAAATGATGGGATACAGAGCACTCCTCATGTGAAGATACAAACACCACATCACAACTGTGTACAAAGACAGATATGGAAATTCAGCAATTATACCTTGTCTTGTCATACAGACAAAGCTTATAATGATAAAACCTGTTTCTATGTCTATCATGAACATTTTTTCAATGTTAGTTACTGCACTCTTCATTGTTACGGATAGATTTTGACCTCTGCAATGGAAGGGCCTCTGTGCTAGAGCTGAGCATTCAATAAAAGTACCTCAACAGCTTATTTCCATTTGCAAACAGATATTAAATGATGACACTGCTTGAACACCTGCCTGCAATAAACAAGTCAAGCAGACACAGGTGAAAACATGGCTAGCATCTAAAACAGCTGAATGCAATACAGAGAAATAATCTTTCTAATTTTAAATGCAACAAATCTATATAGTGACACCATGCTGAAAGACTGTAGCAAATCACCTGGTTTCAGGTGGATTCACTGAAAAACAAGACATCATTCTAAAAGATACTGCTCCCCTAACTCTGGGAACCTACCAATGGGAATAATTTAGATAAAATCTGAAACTCTTCAAAAACAGTTAATTTTTTTTTTAAAGTTTATTTCCCAGCAAGTATCTCCTTTTTTTCCTTTTCCCCTAAGTGATGCCAATCCAGTTATGGTTTCTGGGAGAAGGACAAATTTCAAACTTATTAATTACCATTAAAAAAGCACTAAAAATCTTGGCATTTTCACAAAAATGATGCAAATGATACACTTCAGAGGTAGAGAAGACCTCATAAATTACAAAATCAGCACGACAACCACTTATACCCAATGGTTTCTGAACCTCTGCAAGTATGCCTGACAGTGCTATGAATAAGTTCGTCTTCATCCAGCCAATACTCTAAATTGCATTATCAAGTGAGAGACATTTCCAAGAGACATTTCTTTGTCTTGTCTGAATCTGTGCAATTTAAAAGCAAGAAACAATCATCTTTGTAACCTGCCCAAACTACCAAGCCAACACATAATGAGTCACAAAATATCTATATACTCATCTATCTATATACCTGTATCTCTCTCTTTTTGAGCAGGGGTAATTTAATGACCTAGCCATTTGGGAAGGCTTTTTTCCAGTTAAAATAAAAAACATTCTCCTCACTCCCAGGAAATAAATATTAGGGCAGAAACCAACTGCAAAACTTTACATTTAAAAGCACAGCTTCCCCTTCCTCTCCCCATGCACCTTGATCAGTAGCAAAACCAGGCATGAATCCTAAGTTGTACAAGTCAAAAATCATGTTAGCCGCATTTCATTCTTTTCACTTTCAGTCAGCATCTTGTGTATGGAGATACCTTATTGGAAAGGAATTTTCTAAAACTTACCATATATATGAAAAGAGGCACAATGCTCTGCAATGCTCCCATATACTGTCCAAGAGCTATGTTAAATCTTTCAATATAGAGATCTGGAGGGCTGGCCTGCAAGAAACCGTAAAAGTCAGGTTGTAATTTGAACAAGAGAAAGATCTGGAACAGCATGAGCTATGCTTTCATAGCAAACTAAAAAAACCACGAAGCATTGGATACACTAAGTCCACACAAAGCAAGCCACACATCACTCCAGTTTAACTCCCTCCAGCAAAAACAGCTTTCTTCAGCAACTGGTTTTTGCCTAGGACTGCGTGTCAGTGCCCAGCAAAAGGTGCATCCAGTAACAAATACAGTATGCCTGTAACAAACTAGCATTCAGCATATGCAGATACAAACGCTTATTAAAGACCAGACCTTCATTTCTAAAGACATCTGTCACACCTGGAATCCATAACCAAATTTCAATGAGTGCTTTGGTGCATGCTTCGGCTCCCTGCAGGCTTTTACTCCAAAACAGCAGGATAGCATTACACTGCTGCTTTGAATCCAGGGAGCACCGTCCTTCCCAGAAAACACACTGCAGTTTTTGCTGGGTCACCTACAGCATGGCAAATATTCAGGGTATGCAGTTGGAGGGACTACAAAGCAATCTCTTCAGATAGAGCTCCCCAGCTGGTGTCCTGCGTGAAAATCCACGCAGCATTACCCTGTAGCCCCAAGCAAACTTTGCTACACAAAATCTGAATGTGCCCGCTTTATGATAGGCCTTGCAGAGCCCCACAGTGGCAGCACTGCTATTTTCGGTGTACAATACCACCTTTCCCAAAAGAGGAAATTAAGAAGCTAAAAAGATCTGATCTGCAGCAAGCTACATTCAATTGAGAAGAGAACCAGAAAGCTGGGAAGCACCAACCACCATTTCTTTTATAAATAGTTATCTGGAGGGATGGAGGAGAGCTGCGTTAGAGCATTCAGGAGTGCATTTACACACCCAGGGATGGAAGTGGAGCTGCGGTAAGGTGTTCCTCTCCATCCCAACCCACCCACGTACACTGCTCTACCTCTTACCCAACTCCTGCTTTCCTTGCTACGGTCTTTTCAGGGGTGGGGTGGGTACCTGCCTGAGTTTCTCCTGTTCACCAACATACACACACCTATACACACCCAAGGACAAAGTGTTGCCTGCTAATGAGAAGAAAAACTCCTTTCCCCTTGCACCATTTCCCTCTCTGACAGCACCAAACCAGAAGAGGATGGAGAACGCAGCAGTGACTGAGAGTGTGCAAGAAAGCGAGCTCAAAGAGTTTTCTGAAGCCAAAGCATCTGTGGCGTGAGAAATGCTCAAGGCAAACTGCACCTCAACTGCTTTACCAGAACTTAGAGCTCTTATCTTTCTGAAGCAGATTTTTCACCCTTTGTATGGACATTCACCAGGTGCCCTAAGAGCACAGTTAGGATTTATGGTGACGTTTTGCTCTATTAAGTATTTTAAGTTTATAGAAGTTTTTTCCTTTCAACTAGCTTCTTTTGCCTCCCTGTTTAATATGTTTAATGAGCACATGGGTAATTTTCACAGCAAACACCGATACAGAGCAGACGTTTCAGAAAGGAAAGCAAAACTGGCAAAGGAATAAAGAGTGTTATTCCATATGCTGTTGCCAAAGGTTATATATGGCGAGTCCTCATTTTGATCCTAAGTTTTTAATCTTATTGCAGATGCACTTCTCATGGGTGGCCAAGCAAATTTTAGTTCAAAATGCCAACAATGTACAAAAGTGGCTATGAACTCCGAGGGCTCCCTTTCATATACAGTTACACAAATAATTTGTTGCAAATAACATGCAATGAAGTCTGCATTTCTAAGCAGTATGTATTCCTGCTTCGCTCTTTTTAACCTCATTTAAATACTGTTATTCTCTGATTTGTAGAGACTTGGTATACAGCTTCTAAGATTAAAGAAAAAAGAAAATCCTACTTCAAAGAACACGGCAGACAAAGGTAGACCACAGCCTGACACAGGGCACCGCTCTACTCTCACTGACAGCTTGCACTTTTCATAAATAAAAATAACCACACAAATTTAAGAAAAAAAAAGTCTAAAAAAAACCCAAAAAAGCCACCAACACAACCAGCCAAACAAACAAAACAGAGAGGCAGAAGTTGCCTGGACAGGGTGTGATTTAATCCCATGAACAGACTCTAGGCAATGGCATACAGCCGGTCTGCCCCTCTTTTTACAGGGCACATTAAGGATGGATATCTTCTTCCTCCACTGAAAATGAAAACTGCTGGCCCACCTCACAAATCCTGTGTCACATTAAGAGAAATGTTTTACGAGGGAACATCAACTGCACACCCAGCTGTCTCCTGAGAGCAGTCTCAAGAGCCCTATAATGGAAGGATACCTGTTGGCCACCACCTCCTTGGTGCCAAGAGGAAAACAACTGCTCTAGATAACAAGCTAAGAGGAGTCCTGACAGCTTCAGGGGAAGCACTGAGTAGTGTCAGGCAAATATCAGGCCTTGGTCTTAACCTCTGGAATGCAAAATGAGTGTTAAATGCTTTATGAATTTGAGATTTTACCTTGGAGTTTTATTTTCTTGATAGCACTTCATGTCAAGCATCAACAGCCAGGAAACGAACAGGAAAGCACATCCTACCTGACTCTGCTTGTTTCCAAAAAAAACCAAAACCCAAAACCAAAGACTTGCCTCAGTTATTGCTTGACTTGTAAACTAACAAAAAAACCAAGCCAAAGTGAAATCAATAGCAGTATTTTCACAGCTCATCTATGGATTATCTGTGTGGGGAAAACAGAGCCATCTGTTTTCTGTTCATTAAGGCATTCCT